AACTGCAGAAGGAGGTTTATTTTCTTCTGGCTGTAAAGATCTACCTCAGGTAAACTGTTCCCTGAGGGAGAAAGTGTCCAGGTACAGAATGTTCACAAAGGAAATATTTAAAGTGCTTCTGTGTCCCCAAAGTGTTTCCTTTCAAATATGAGGGCCAGAGCAAAAAAATAGAATATTAATTTCTAATTTGAAAGCAAAAATAACCTCTTGCAGGCAGCAGAAAATTAATTGACCTTCTTTGGGCTCGATACTGCAGCCCATGAAGTGCACAAGTGAGGAGGAGCTGTGGAGGAGATGCCGTGTCCCCAGTGCACAGCCCGCATGGGGCAGGGCAGGAGCTGGAAAGCCAGCACCAGAGGAACTGGGGTCTCCAGGCTGGTTTGTGTGATTCAGGGTAAGAGCCTTGCTAATGGGACCTCAGCAATTCAGGATCGATGCCTGGGCCTTATGGGTGGTATTTCTATGTGGGGCGTTTTGCTGTTGGACGGCACTCCTGAAGCAGTTCCAAGCTGCCCTGTGATCTCATCGTGGCAGCACTTCACTTGCCATGGGCTTTTCAAAGGCCCAGAATGAGCTGCTCTGATGTCAGCCAGCTGAACTATTGCCATCGTGTTCCTGGCTCTGTGGGTCCTAGATGAAGGTGTGTCCTCATGTGTTCAGGAAAAGGAAGGACTGAGGAAGATGCTTAGACTTGGTTTTCCATTGGAATGTGTAAATGCTGTTGGATGGTGGTGGTGTTCCCCTAAAGACTGTTTCTCTTTCAGAACAAAATAGTTCAATGTGCTATTTACATTGTTCCCGTTTCTCTTTGCCATGCAGTGTTTCCAGGAACACAGCATTTATCTGGGACGTTGTTTAATAATGGAAGCATCTCACTGCTGTTGGAGTGTCCCCCATTCTGGGTTATCGAGGAGGGGTGGTGGGTACACCAAGCTCTTCTGTACCCATTCAGGTGCCATGAAGAGCTAAGGTTACAGAATCACCTCAGAGCTACAAGGACTGATGAGTGTCACTTGTGCTGCAGCTGAGTTTAATGGTTTAAGGAAGGGCCATAAAAAAGGTGCTTTTTGGGCTGTGACAGTATCTGGGTACTCAGAACACATTTCTAGTTCAGGAGTGGGCTGCAGATTGTGCCCAAAGTGGTGAAAGACTTGAGGTGTGAATTGTCTGTCTGCCCATCTGGGCTGGCTGGCTCTAACCTGCGCAACTGGGTGAGACGCAGCAGCCCAGCAGTACCAGGCTGAGCTTGGACTCGGGGAGACCTCAGGTCCTCTGCCATGTGCTGCTGGTTCATACTGAGGAGGGGAGCATGGACAGCATCACGCATGCTGAAGAAAGGGCACGTCTGGAACTGGACTGCAGGAAAGCGCCAGTGTTCCTTTACTGTCCACACTGTCCCTGTTCACCTCAGGTGAAGGAAGGGCAATAGGTGCAGATGTCACTCACCAGGGCTGTCAATCAGGGCAGCAGCACTTGGTGCTTCTCATCCGAGTGGAAAATCCTTGAGAAACAAGAAGTGAGGATCCCCCCTGCCCTGCTACTGAGCCAGGCTTTTCTCCTCAACCCCCGGACTCTTAAATAGCATCATTTACACTTGGGAGCCGCTTGAATCCACCCTGTCACATAAATTACCATCTCTGAACTCGGCTGTCAGGAAGCGTCCTCACCAGTTGACATCCATGAGGGGTGTCAGTGGAAGAGGACTGGTTCTGTGGCAAGCAGGAGGAATTCAAGCATCGAGTGAAAGTTTGTCCTCATGTTACCTCCGGTGGTGAGGGCATATCGGGCCCGCTGCAGGCAGTCCTGCTGTGGCCTTTGCCCCTCACACTGCCCGTGTTGCCCCTCACTAGCTGTGGGGCTGGCTCTGCCATGTGGAGCAAGCCCTGTGCTCCTGCATCTCGGGCAGTTACAGCCTGGCCCAGCAAGTGGCCCTGGAGCAGGGCCTCGGGGATATTACAATTTCCTTACAGGGATAAAGCCACAGGCTTTTCTCTCTGCTGTGCTGCTCGCTCTGGCTTTGATGCTGCTGCCATTGAAATGAGGTTGGCCCATCTGGTAGCGGAAGAGATGAGCTGTGCTGGATGGATCTGCCTTGCTGGGGAGGGTTCAAAAGGCAGCACCTACCCTTTGTTGTATTTCCTGCACGCTAACCAAGTCCGTGTTTTCTGGAGCTACTTTTTATCCTTGCAGTATGTTGGGTTTGGCATGGATGCTTTCATCCCTCCTGTTTGAAGTAAGTGGGAGGACAAAGTGATGAAAATGCCAGTGTCCCATCATCCCACTGTCGTCTCCCCCATTCCCGTTACCCTCCCCATCCCTTAGAAAAGGATTGTGAGGATGCACCTTGATGGGAATAGCTACAGTTGTTTGCTGCCAGGAGTTGAAACGTGGAGGACTGAAGCTTGGCAGTGTCGGTGGATTCCTGTTTGTGTTGCCCTGTCGTGGTGCAGCAGCAGCATAGGGCTTTGGGGTGATGGCAGCCCTGGGTGCATGTTTGTCAGCTTTCCTCATAGCCACATGAGAGGGGATTTGAAGCAGTCCAAACACTCTGTTGACTTGCAGAAAAGCCCAGCTTGTGCTCCTCTGGGCCGAAATGCAGTGACTGCTGCCTGTGCTCTCTGCCCTCCCAGCCCTGGCAGACCTCTGAAGCAGATCCCTTTATTTAGGCCCTGATTCAACAAAGCACTTAAGTACATGCTTCATGAAGGCTTTCTTCTTTCCATTGATCTGTCCGCATGCTCAGAGTTACGCATGTGCTGAAGCGCTCTCCTGAGCACACAGCAAAGCGGTGACGGGGCAGCATGTGCTGGGCTCTGCCTGGGCAGGCTGCAGGGTTGAGGGCCCTGGTGGTAAGAATTTACTCATTTATTTGGCTCCCTCCAGTACCAAAGCCCTTGTCCCAGGGTCTGAGATAAGTGTGTCCTGCTACAGAAGGGTGGGTTGTTTCCGTAGCACAGGATATTCCTCGTGTCTCGCTCTTACCCATTGATCAGTGTCCTGCAGGATGTGGGGCAAGGGGCTCCGTTTCCATCAGCAGGACAGGGGCAAGTCTTTCTTGAGCTCTCTGTTTTCCCCCTTCTAAGAGCTGTAAAAGAAACCAACCATGTTACATGTATGTGAATGTCTTAATGTTTGTAGTTCAGTGTTCTGTAGGATTCATTCCATCGATCTTCCATTAAAACCATTCCTTTCACCCTGAGGACTGAGCAGCCTAGAGCAGGCATGTACCTGTGTGTCTGTGTGCACGTGTGCTCCTGAGCTACTGCAATGAGAGCGGAACCAACGCTGGTCTCTGGGATTTCTCCAGGTTGGGAAGCGGCAGGTGTTCCTACACTGCGTCTTGGTGTAAGTGTGTGTGACCCTGGGAGTCTGAAGCTGTGTAACAGGCACTTCATCCACAAGATGGTTGTATTTCAGCCTGCTCGGAGCAGCTTCTAGGGAACATTCTTTCTAATCCCCACCCAGAGCTGACCTGTTCTAGCTTGTTTTGAGGAGCTGCACCCAGCCAGGCCCTCGCTCCCTGCAGAAGGTTTCCACACATCTTTTCCTGCTTGCCGAGCTCGCTTGGACAGGGAGCCCACACATCAATGGATAGGATTTGCCCCGGTTGCGGGCCTGGAATTGATTTGGAGCATCTCTGTTGCTCACAGAGCCCAGAAGACACAAGCATGGCAAGATGTGCTTTTTCCCCCTTCCCTTTGAAGTTTGAAGCACACTCAGCAAATCCGATGTTCGCAGTCTCTGTTCCCCACCTGATGTGCAGAAACGCAAAGGTCTTTCCAGAAGCACGGGTCACACCAGCCATTGTGCTGATGCTGCGGGTGGATTGCAAGGCCCCGGGCAGGTTTTGTTGTGAACTTGACTCTAATGAGCCTGGAGAATACAACAGGGCTTTAACGAATGTTGGTTTTAATGTGAACTAATTCGATCTGTGAATCAAACGGCCTCTGTGCCCCACCCCCTGCTGCTGCTGACAGCCTCTTCCCACACTTCCTCGGGAGCATTGTTTCCATTGTTTCCAGCTCCAGTAATCTTCGGTTACTGATCAGTGTAATTGCAATAACACACCAATAATAAAGGAGGAATTTAAGCTTCCTTTTCTTGTAGTTGAAGGTTTTTTGCCTGCAAAAGCTTCGGGTCTTAATAGCAGTCACACGAGCAGCATCCTGTGCCTGTGGAGTGTTGGCAAAAGTGGGTGGCCATGCTTTAGGGAGATAAACGGGCTGGATCTGGGGAGTTGGGAAAACAGCCCAATCCTATCAGGCAGCATTGGTACTGCTAATATTAGAATGGGAAGCTCTAGGGACAGCTTAACATTTTAGTGGATGCCGAGGAAGCCTTGACTAGGGATGCGTTGGGAGCTGTGTGTTGTATAACGCGAGTTGCTGGAGTCAAGAGGAATTTGAGTTGCCTTTGGTCTGGTGGAAAACTACAGCTAGGAGCAGCGAGTTAATGTTTTCCGTGTGTGCGTGTAGCTGAGGTGTCCCTGGTGCGTTTGCTTTCAGTGCTGTAGGCGCCGCATCCCTAGAGGAGCGACCGTGAGCGCAGTCTTCATGTGCCGCCCGCCCCGTGCTCTGCCCCGGTGATGGGTGAGCTCAGCGGCCATGGGGCTGAGCCGCAGCAGCTCCTGCTTTGTCTGCCAGAAAGCCACCGGCTGCTTTTCCTGCCGGAGCGTTTCCGACAGCAGGGGAGGGGCCCATGGGGAGGACGGGACCTTCGTTAAAGGAGATTAAAGAGCTGACTGCGGGGCCGCGCCGCGCCGCGCCGCTGGGGCTTCTCGGTGCCAGCCTGCGCCGCTATGAAACAGCCTCGGCTGTTGGTCGGCCGCCCGTGCCTGCTGCTACAACGGTAAACGCCATTGGCCGCTTCCTCCTCGCAGGCGCCGCTGGGTGCGGGAGATGCCCCCCGGTAGCGCAATGGCGGCCGGGCAGCCCCTCGGGCAGGGGGGGGCATCAGCCGCTGCGGCTCCCGCCTCAATTCTGTTTCTCTTTTCCCCGCAGGTTGCTGAAAAGTGCCTTTCCTGAAGCCGCCGCTGCTTGGATCGCTGCCTCGGGCTGCCGCCCTCTGCCCCGCGCCCCCCGCTCTGTGTAACCGGCGTCGCTTGCGCTGCGTGCCCCGACGGCAGCGCCTCCAGCCTCCCCGCGGGTTTCGGTTCTGCTCCACATTCACACGCGGCTCGCTCGGCCATTTTAATTCGGTTCTAGTTTGCTCCTGCCCCCGAGTATGTAGCAAATATCGAAAAGAAAGAGGAAAAAAAAAACCAACCCCAAAACGAAAGAAATCAGACGTCCTTTTGCTCGTTTTGATGCTCGCGAACCGTGATTTTTAGAAGCAAGAAATAGAAGGAAAAAATACCCCCAGAAAACGAAGTTTTCTCCCCAAGGACCGAGACCATTCCACAAACTGAAGTGCTGCCAACAGCATATGCTTTTTGCAAGAATAATTGAAACCATTAACTGGAGAGCACAGAATCCTTTTGAAAGTCTGCCAGTTCTTTGCAAGTAACTCCGGCAGTGGCACAAAATCTAACACTTGTATTTTAACTTCTACAATTGCACTTTTAGGAGCTGGCCTCTCATTTGATTTTCAGTTGTTCTGATAAGATTTCTATTTTATGATTGGCTTTATGTTTAATTCTTGTTTCGAGAAACACGATTTGACTTAAATGAAAACCTAAGTGCTGATGAATAGGAGTTCTACCAAAGCAACAAGTTAGTTATTTCTTCGCGTTTAACTTGAATTCACTTTTTTACCCTTTTTTTAAACAAACAAGAAGAAACTCAAGCGGCTCAGCAGTACCTGGTGCCCCCGAGGAAGGGTGCCCTCGCTTGCTTGGTCACTTTTGGTTTTTACTATGGCTGTAAACGTTTCCCTGGTGCGGGATACGAAGTGGCTGACGTTAGAAGTGTGTCGGGAGTTTCAGAGAGGAACTTGTTCTCGGTCTGATGCAGAGTGCAAGTTCGCCCATCCCTCACGGAGTTGCCATGTGGAAAACGGTCGAGTTATTGCCTGCTTTGACTCCCTAAAGGTGAGGACTACCGCGTGCATTACCTGAGCTCTCTTGCTCTTCCTTCCCTGCGGAATGGCTTGGCGTGCTGGGGCGTGGGGTGTGCGCAACCGCTGTTTGTTGCTGTTCCTGCAGGGAGGATGCTGCCGATGCGGGATGTAGCTGCTGAGATCCAGGGTACAGTCAGTGCCCTGATGCATGGCAGGGAGAGAGGGGTTTATCCACCATTTCCAATGGCAGCTCACGTCTGATGAAGCTGTTCCCAAAGTGGAGACTGTGGGCATTGAGTGAAACTGAGATGGAGAAGCAGAGGACTCAGTGCTGTAATTTATGTCTAGAGCACATGGGCAGCGCGTTCGATGCGGGGCTCTGAAATGTGCTTTTAATGAGCAGAAACGAGAGCAGCATTTTAAGATAATGAATCAGCTTCATGTGCATTTCCTGGAGATGGAGTTGCAGATGCGCTCAGACACTGGCCCGTGGATGGGAAACAGCCAAAATATTTGGAGGGCAGAGCTCCCAGAAAAATGGGTGTTGGCAAAAGGCTTTCTGTAAGGGACATGTCAACGCCGTGGTTCTGCTAGGCCTGGCCAAGTCACAGCCCAGCCTTTTGCTAGCACTCATCTCTGTGGAGCTGATTTTGCAGGCAGTAAATGGCTTCTGGTTGCTTTGTCACTGTTGGAGCTCCAGGGGTGACTTTCAGAAGCGACCAAGTGCCTGGGGGCTGAGTTGGGGCAGGGGGATAGGGGCTCGCAGGGGGAGGTGGCATCTCTGGGGCTGCTTCATTCACCATGGTGCTCAGGAAATGAGCATCCACTTTGTGGTGTTTCGATGGGGTTTTTTGCCTCTAAAGTGGGGGTCATCAAAGATGCTTCAGTAGGATGGTCAAACCCCTGGCACAGTATGGCTGGATGACCAGTTGCTTCTGAGAGCTCCTGCTGTGGTGCTCACTGTTTTGATCAGTGATTAACCTGTTTGAGGTTCTAGAAGGAATCTAGTATGTTTTACAAGCTTCAAAGCTTTCCCTTGAACTTCAGCTGTTGCTTGAAGAGATCTGGGTTTATTGTCATGCACATAACGAGTACCAGAAATGGTGGAATTACATATGCCCAGGTTCAGACTGGGGCTGATCCAGTCTAACACTGGTTTACCTGTTTTATTACTGTTTGGCTTCTTTGTATTTTCACTTCTGTTCCCTTTTACCAAGAAGCTCACGCTTCCTGTTTGCATTTGGTTTTGCTCTTTTTAATCTGATTATATGCAGCGAGGCTTAGTTACAGTGTGACTTTCAAATGTTCATTTGCATTGCTGTTTGCTGACAGCGAGAGGCAAAACTATTTCTGTCGGAGGGACATAAAGTCATGTTCTTTGTGCCCTTGAAACTCCTGAATTGTAGCGAGTGGCAGTGCAGACAGTTTGAATGGAGAGATTAACACGTTTCCATTCGATAGCATTTCTTTGGGAAGTGGAAGGAGTGCTGTCCTGCTGTGTGGAGTGGTACCCTGCCCCGTGCCTAATGGTTGCAGCATCCTGGGGAGCACTAAGTCGGTGGGCAGCTGGGATCAAATCCCACCCACTGGCATAGCAAACAGGTTTCCCACTTCAGCAGTGGGGAATGGGATGGGGAATACAGTGTTGAGAAAGCAAAGAAAAAAAAACCCAGTCAAGGAGTCGGGTCTGATCTGCAGCTCAGCGTGTTTCCTGTGTAACTGCCTGTTAAGTAATGTTCTTGTGGCAGCAGCTTCCTCTTGACACAGCAGCAGATGCCCAGTTTGTGCTACTGAAGTGGCCTGAATTTTCCAGGGAACAGATTTTCCGGATTCTTTCAGGCTTAGGAAAGCCTTGTGGGAGCCAGCAGCTCTGGCTTAGGGAAGGACACTGGGAGGAGAGCTCAGACTCTCCTCCCATGATGGGGCTGTTCCCGCATCCCACTTCTCAGCCAAAAAGTGCCTCTCAGAGCACCTCCTTCCTTCAGGCCCATGGATCCAGTAGCTCCCACAGGGCAGAGCCCTGGCTATGCTGTGCCACAGAGCAGTGCAGTCCCCTGTGTGTGTGTGCTCGCCGTGTTTCCCAGGGGAGATAACCACCCTGGTGACTAACCTCTCCAACAAAGGCTTTTCTGTCCTTGGGCTGCACCGGGCTGGCAGAGCCATGTTTGCAGTGGCATTGAGAGCCTCGTGGGCATAACAGTGGCCTCCCTTGCTGGGAACCAGAGAGATGCAGTGATAGGACAAGGGCTCATGGGTTCAGATGGAAACAGGGGAAGTTCAGGTTAGATACAAGGCAGAAGCTCTTCCCTGTGAGGGTGCTGAGGCGCTGGCACAGGGTGCCCAGAGAAGCTGTGGCTGCCCCATCCCTGGCAGTGTTCAAGGCCAGGTTGGACACAGGGGCTTGGAGCAAGCTGCTCTAGTGGAAGGGGTCCCTGCCCGTGCAGGGGTTGGAACTGGATGAGCTTTAAGGTCCCTTCCAGCACAAACCAGGCTGGGGTTCTGTGATTCTGTATTACTTTCTCAGACCCGTTAAGAAGAGGCTTTTCCTGCCCATGCTGTGGGTGTCTCTGTGTTTCCCTGTGCAAGCCTGGGTAGCTGCTCAGTGCTCTATTCATCTCCTCACACTCTGCAGTAGCAGAACATCTGTGTTGCTCCCTTGGAGACAGGATATAGGATGCTTGCAGCTAATAAGTTTTCCTTTCCCAGTTGTCTTGCAGTGCCCAGGGCTTTGTTCAGAGGTTGCTTATCTGCATCCATTGTGTAGTGCTGGTGCTTGTTTTCTTTCTCACAGACCTCTTAAGCCTGAACAATGCCTTCCTACAGGAACTTTTGATAACCCAGCCCACAATGGCTTCATCTCCCTGGGCAGGTCACGCACAGCTTCTGTAGTTACTGCATCTTACTTTTGCCTTCTGTTCCGTCTGTCTCATGGAGCAGTTTTGCCTCTGGTGCAGTGCTGGGAGCAGTAATGCTTCCAGGAGCAGGCTGCTGCAGTGTGGGTTGTTTGCTGGGTGAGTGTGTGCTGCCTGTAAGCTTGTAAAGAACACACGGAGGCTCTGAAGGTGGTGGTGGGGCTTCACCGATGCTCAGGTGGGGTCACCAGGATGTGCTCTGCAGGAGCACTGTGTGGTTGTGCAGTGAAATACTGGATCTTGATAAGGGTGGAAGTCCGGGGCTGGATCTTTCTGCCCTGAGCTGCGGCTCTTCCAAGGGGGAGCTTGCATATTTGTAGGCAGCAGAAGGAACCTTCCTCAAGCGGATTGATTGAAGCTTAAAAATAGTTCCTTGTGAGGAGCTGTTCACAGATTGGAGTCAGATGCCAGGAGAGCTCTCACTGTACTCGTGCTTCCCCTCGTTACTCTGGAGGAGCAGTGCTGTCTGCAGTAACCCGTGTGAATGGCAGGGCAAGCTGCACTGCTCGGAGCAGGGCAGCCACCCAGCAGTGGCCACAAGGGCTGCTGATGCTCTGTGATGCTCCTGGCAGGTCCCAGGGCACCTCTGAGGCCTTCTGCAGTGGTGGCCTTTGGGGTCATTCATCAGCTGCTTTCCCAGGCTTGGTGGGCACCTTTCCATGCAGAGCTTTTGGTTGCTGGCTCATGGCGCTCGGTACAAGGCTCTGTGCACAAGCACTCAAGTCATTAACCTTCCTTTGCAGGCTGGATGAGGCCGCCATGGTGTGACCCTGTCTGACTCCTCAGCTTTGTTCTTCTCTTTCTAAAGCTGCCAGGAAGGAACATAGCATTCTCTTTGGTCCCTGGAAGCACTAATGGAGCAGCGAGCTGAGAGACGGGGCGTTAGGAGATAGCTCACTATGATAGAAAAGCGTGTAGGTAATGCATGCTTGGGTGTTCCCAGAGGCTTATGGTTTGTTCTGCTCACAGGTTGGGTATTGCTCTGTGGACTCACAGCTTAAATACAAAGTGTCCAGGCCCAGCTTGGTGAGGTGTGGTGGGGTTTGGGTTTATGCTTCGATTTGCTTTATGAACGTAGGTGTCTCCACATGCAGATCAAAGGTGTGAAGGGCCTTCTGGAAGACAGAAAATCATGGCCATTTCAGGGCTCTGAATTTTGATCTCGAGAGGTTTAATTTAAAAGACATCCTAAAGCTATTGCATGTTTCAGAGAAGTTCTCTGTGTGTGTATATATATATATATATATATATATATATGAAAAGGGTGGAGTGTCTGAAGAGGTGTGAAATCAGGAGTTAAAAGCCCAGTTTTGTCTGGATTGTCTGTCTTCTAAAAGAAGTGTTATTGTCTGGTAGTGATATTCACAGTCCTACAGCAATTGAAGAAGTTTGCTGTGCTTGGACAGTAAACGTCCATAGGTTCCATAGGAAACCATAGGATCTTGAAGCTGGGGTACCTAAGGCTGTTCCTTACACTTTGCCTGCTGGTTTGTACCTGGTTTATGCTGACTTCACCAGAATTCTTTCTGTTGCTGGTTTGCAACCAACCCTTTTAAATTTAAATAAACTCCAAGCACGGAAACAACTGAACCACCCCCAAACCTCACATACGGTTCCGCTTTTACAGGGGAAGAAGAAAGCAAACCAAGCCAGAGAGGTATTTTTGGAGACACTATGACTGCACGTCTCAGCTCAGTGTGATGGGGCTGCAAATGCACCAGCCAGGTAGTGTTGGGCCAGGTCACCCCTGCAAGACACCTTCACTTCTTTGGTCGCTCACCTGCATGGTGATGAGAAGTGGATTTGCAGCAGTTTCGGTCTTGTCTGGTGCTTGTGTGTGTCCTACAGCACATCCTAAGTGCTTTTTATAACTACTGAGTCAAACATCTGAAAGCAGGAGAAATGTTTTTAGACTCGGTTTTATTTATAAGAACTGTGGCTCTTGTGTTTGAGTGGTACATCAGGGAGGGCAGGAGAATGTGCCTGTTTAGGCACATCCCTTGTCTACACCAAGCTCCATGTTGTCACTGCTTCATTTAATTGACACGCGTGCTGTGTGTGCTCTGCAGCGGCTCCAAAAGGTTTGTGGTGCTCTGTGGGATGGAGACTCGGGATGGAG